CTCCTCTACTCCTCTCCCTCCTCTCCTCCTCTCCTCCTCCTCCTCCCTCCTTACCTCCTTCTCTCTCTCTCTCCTCTCCTCCTACCTCCCTACCTCCTTCTCTCTCTCTCTCTCTCTCTCTCTCTCTCTCTCTCTCTCTCTTCTCTCTCTCTCTCTCTCTCTCTCTCGTCTTCTCTCTCTCTCTCGCTCTCTCTCTCTGTCTCTGTCTCGCTCTCTCTCTCTCTCTTTATCTCGCTCTCTTTCTCTTTATCTCTCTCTTTCTCTCTTTCCCCCCCTCTCTCTCCTTCTCGCTCTCTCTAGTCTATGGTCGTACTACTCTCACGCGTGTATGTAGTTCGCTCCCCGATGAAAAACCGCGTGACTCTTCATTACTCAGCAGCAGCAGCTGTTCGTGTTATGACTAACCTGGAATTCGGAGATGATTGGCACGGGACGAATGCTGCGATTCCCCCGCGAGCGTCTCTCTTTCTCCCACACACCTTGCTAACGGTGATTGCTGGAGATGAACGCCCCCTCCCCAGACAGTGTCTGTAGTACAGTTCCTTCGTCTTCTTCTTCTTCTTCTTCTTCTTCTTCTTCTTCTTCTTCTTCTTCTTCTTCTTCTTCGTCTTTGTCGTAGTCTCTCGCGGATGATCCACGCTGAGACGGCAGCTAGGGGCTGACCTCTCTGTTAATGATTCGTCTCCACCTTCCTCGTTCTGCCGCATCGTCCTCCGTGGTGTACTCTGCTCCCCCGTATAGATTTTTTTGCGATGGTACCAGCCTTAGAATTTGTGCGTTGCCGCCCCTGCTAGCAGTAGTAGCGGTAGCAGTTTCCTCTGACAGCAATGTTAGTGACGACAGCGCCCCCTGACAGCAATTTTAGCGATAGCAGCTCCCACTGACAGCAATGTTAGTGACAACAGCGCCTCCTGACAGCAATCGTAGCGATAGCAGCTCCCCCTGACAGCAATGTTAACAATAACAGGGCCTCCCGGCAGCAATCGTAGGAATAGCAGCGCCCCCTGCCAGTAGTGTTAGCGATAACACCTCCCATCACAGCAGTGGGTTAGAGATGGTAACGCCCCCTGACTGCAGTGTTAGCGAACGGTAGCGGCCCCTCCCAAGCGATGGAGCCGAACGTGGGCATAACGTGAAGGTTTCTTTAGCTCCCTGCTTTACTCGTAGAGAGAGAGAAGGATTTCCGAATT